AACTAACTTATATTAGTTATTTTTGTGTGTGTGCAGATATGCAATGACGGGACATCTAACACAGAAGAGTGATGTATATAGCTTTGGAGTTGTGCTGCTTGAACTTTTGACAGGAAGAAAACCTGTAGATCATACTATGCCTCGTGGACAGCAAAGCCTTGTCACATGGGTGATTATTCATTCTAATATTCTATTGTTATGTTGAAACTTGAGATTGAAGACTTTTGCTGCTAACTATTTATATATCTGAACTTTTACCTTTAGGCCACCCCAAGATTGAGTGAAGATAAAGTGCATCAGTGTGTAGATCCGAGGCTCAAAGGAGAATACCCTCCCAAAGCTGTAGCCAAGGTTTCTCCTCCTTCCCATAGCGCACTACAGCTTCTCTGCAAGGCTTGTTCTGTTTTTTTTGGCATATGGGCCAGATCTCACAACAGGCCTTTCTTAATAAAAAGTTTCATATTTCAAAGTTAGCAGGGTAATAGTTTTTTCAACAAGACACAATGAAAAAGAATTGGAACGTCTAACTAAGAAAAGATCGACAAATTCGGTTCTTACAAGTAATGAGACATTGGGAAGATACAAAATTTTGGCCTATTTTCATCGACTTTTTCATGCCTTGGTTGCCCACACACACAGTACAAGCCCTGATCTGTTTGCATGAACTACTAGTACTAGAGTACATGATTTTCCATTAGATCTGATCCTTTATTTTATTTTTTTGGTTTTTGTGGTGGTCAAATGTTTGGGGGTGTAGATGGCGGCAGTTGCAGCATTGTGTGTACAATACGAAGCAGAATTTCGTCCCAATATGAGCATTGTTGTGAAGGCTCTCCAGCCGCTATTGAGGTCCCAGGTTCCTGCTCCAGGAATACAATATATGTCATAAACGAAGTGCCACAAGCGCATGTATCTCTCTGGTGTTATCATTATATACAAGGTCAAGGACAACAGAATTCATTTGAATGTTTCTCTAAGATTCCAGTCTTTCATTGATGAACCCTGATATTGACCTGTGGCAATTCTTTTCCATTTTCGGTCCTCATAATTTTTCTCCAATTACTCTTCTGTATATCATCAGTATTACTGAGTATCTATTCATTTTCTATGTTAACTCTTTGCTGGGGTTGAGAAATGCTTTTATTAAGAAATGCATTCTGAGAGATGGCATTTAAAGTTATTATTCCTTATAATCGTCCAATTTATTTAATTGTTTTATATTTTAATTTATTTTAACGGTTCTGTAATTTGATGAACTGAGGTGATCAATTAAAACTCTAAGGTGAGCTTGGACCCTCCATGATATGAAAATTGGCTTCCAAAACATCTGCACGCATTAAAGACTGAAATTTTCTTTTATGTCCTTTTAAGAAGAGTTAAACTTCGCATTATTTAAATATAATTATATTGCACATGGCCTTTATACAATTAATAATTAACATAAAGAAATTTCTGTGAAACCTTTCGGCCTTCATTCCTTATTACTCCGTATTTATAAACTATGATGAAACAAAATTTAAATCTGAATGTAAATTTTATTAAATCAAATATTGAGAATAATCTAACATATAACTTTAAAGTTTAAATGTGTATTATCTGATTTTTCGCTTAAATTCAAAGAATTTAAAACAAGATATTCAAATACATAGATTTTTTAAAATCAAGTCTTTATTATCTCTGAATATCTCAATCTTAAAACTTCCAATGATCTTGAATGTAAGATTGTTCTTGAAGAGTACGTATATCGTACACCCGGATGTACGGGTGAGAACCGTACATCCGGTTTTGTTTTTTGAAATTTTTTTAAGCTTCAGTCCATTTTAATAACCCAGTTTGAATAGAATTAAATGAATCTCACGGAAGGCCCATAAAAAGGCCCAATTAAAAGAAAGACAGTCCATTTAGTTAAAACAGCCTATTTTTTTCGGTGGCAGTTTTGTAATTTCACTGAAAAATAATGACTCCCGCTAAATGAGCAATATTGTAGTTTTGTTGAGCATCTCACATATTATATTGAGTATTATGAGGCTAATAATGAGTTTCACGATCTCTGCTTCATATCTTCTATTTTTTCTGCTATAAAAACTTACTCCGTATTAAATTATATCTAAAATTCACTCCTATTAATTTCAATATGCGAGTCTAATGAAATATGATACTTTTGAAATATGCATTGATATGACATTTTAAGAATGAGCATAACATTAGTATCAAATGAGCATACATAACTAACAAAGTGCACGTTGATATGAAAATCGTAAGGTTTGTTAGTTGAACATCATGACATTTTAAATGAGCATCAAACCTCAACTATTGAGATGAAAATCACGACTTCTGGAGAATGAGTAATAATGAACTTTTAATGAGCACCCTAACTATTTTGTTGAGTATTAGGAGTCTAATATTCAGAATCGTGATCTCTACTTTACAAACTTCTAATTCACTTTCTTTTTGTTATTTTTTATCGTAAGGTTTGTTAGTTAAATATCACGACATTTTAATTGAGCATCAAACATCTGCTATTGAGATGAAAATCATAGTATCTTGTGAATGAGCAATAATGAACTTTTAATGAGCATCAAACCTATTATGTTGAGTATTAGGAGTCTATCATAAAATAATACTTTTAAAAAATGCATTGATATGACATTTAGAAAATGAGCATAAAATGAGTATCAGATGAGCATATGTAACTTACAACATGAGTATTGATGAGCATATGTAACATCACAACATTTTCATTCAACATCAAAACTTCTCTATTGAGATTGATGAAAATCATGATTTCTATTAAATGAGCGTTAATGAACTATTAATGAGCATTAGACCTATACAAATGAGCATGCGTAACTTACAAGATGAGTAGTTATATGAAAATTGTAATATTTTTTTGTTGTGCAACAAGACATTTTTTGTGAGCATTAAATCCCCATTATTGAGTATTAGAATCTGCGATTGAGTATAATGATTTGTGCGATTGAGTATAATGATTTGTGGTCTCGTGTCTATAATCAACTCTTATATAAATCTAATGTAATATGAGACTTTTGAAATGTGCATTGCTAAAACATTTTAAAAATGAGCATAACAGAGATACTAAATGAACATACATAATTTACAAAATGAGTATTGAAAAATTCAAAAACTCATTAGTATGTTATAAAATGAGCATTAGTATGACGATCATAAGTTTTTTTTAGTTGAGCGAGCATCAAAACGTTTTCATTGAGCATCAAATCTTCTCTATTGATTATTAAAAACATGCAATTGAATATCATGGTATGTGCTCTCGTATATGTAATTAACTCCTACTTCAATCTAGTTTAATATGTAACTCTTGAAATATGAATTGATATAACATTTTAAAATGATCATAACATCAGTACCAAATGAGCATACATAATTTACAAAAAGAACATTGATATGGAAATCGTAAACTTTGTTAATTGAACATCAAAACATTTTCATTGAGCATCAAACTTTCTTTTATTGAATTACAAATATAATCGTGTTCTTTTTATAATTAATGTTTACTCATTCACATTTATTTGTACTCATTTTTGTATAAAACAAAATTGAGTAATTAAAACACAATACTCCGTATATAATAACTAATAATGATATATAATTAAAATAAAAAATAGAAAAATAAAAAATAAATACCTAAAACATTTTATATTACACAAATAAAAAAAACTATTTCTAACATAGTTTTATATTATAGATTTTCAAAATAATTTAATTTGAAATTAAAACAAAAAATTGTTAAAGAAGAAAACAAAAACCTGAAAAGGAAGACCCCAAAGAAAACAAAAAGTTGATACCGAATAAAACAAAAAAAGAAAACAAAGAACTGAAAACAGAGTAAGCAACGAACGAACCTAATGCTAAGCAAAAACCGCCGGATGTACGTACCACCGGCGGTACGATATAATTTATCGTTCTTGAAGGCCTCCGGTCTTCATTTGACTTGACTTTAGAGAAGATTTATTGAATATGATTGATCTTCAGTGGAGGAGTATCCCTATGATATGAGGTTTTAACCATCAATGGAGGTCCCTATTGGGATCCAAATTCTACTTGATTTATGGGTAGAGATGGACCGGTCGTGTTCCCAAACCGACTAGTCCATGATTCGGGAGACACGTTTGGGGTGCCGGTAGTCCGGTACCAGTAAACATATCAATCCCAAAAAGTCAGGTTCCTCATTTTTTTTTTTCAAATTTCAATGAAGTGACTGATGTATGAATGCTATATGTACTTGCAATACATTAATGATAAATACATTAAATATTTTTTATTACAAATACTAACTAAAATTGTAAAAATAAACTAAGCACATTATTATCTACGAAGTATTATACACAGTATAAAAGAAAAAGGTTTCTAAAGAGTGTTCCCCTCAAATGTAGTGTATCTTTCGACATAAGATGGAAGGATGGGTTAAGGAATAGAAGAGAAGGGACAAAGTAAAAGGAGAAAAGTAATGACGTGGGGTGACGATGGATTAGGTGAGGGATGAACCCATGGATATACGAAATTAATTAATGAATTATTCTAAGTGGACTTTTTAACGTCTTTCAAGTTTCAATAACACATACGTAGTATAAATTTTGAAATAGTAATATAAAAACTATTACCTCCATTCCATTCCAGTATTATCAAATAGTCTCCTAATTTTACAATTTTTTGCACTTTGGGTAAACCATAAAGTTACAAGTAAAAAAATACCTACACAAGGAATATTAAATTACTTGCCCTTATATTTAATTATAATAATAATGGAGAATTCAAATTTGAACCCCATATTTTGGACTAAATTTGATTTTAAACACCATGTTAAAAATTGTTAATGTAATCACTTCATTTAATTGAATAAATTAATTTTACGCCTCATTACTTAACAGATATTTTAAATAATGGGGTACATAACTGCATGTATTGGGGTTGGTGCAAAGTCATTTCAACCCAAATAATATATAAAACGAGTTTGAACAAAAATATATAAAAAAGTTGCTGGAGAATCATCTATACTTTCATTATTAGTAACCCCTTCAAATAGGGAATGAATAGAATATATAAGTCAAGCACTAAAGCCCAATATACATGTAAATAAATGAATAACAATCTTACTTGTATGCATACTCTATCGAAACGATAAAACACCAAGTGAGTTTTCTTGGAGAGAAAAAAAAAAGTTTGACCCTAGCTTTATTTCCACTAACTTTTGCACACCAGTATTTCTCTCCTTTTCTCCCCTATCTTGTGTTTTCCCAACTTCCAAACGGATCCTGCAAGTCCACAGCATGACAGCATTTGCATAATCCAAGGTTGATTGCACCTCAACTGTATCCACCACCAAACTGACCACAATTCCTAGCTCCAGGAAGAGGATAGTAACCTCCTCCAGCTACGTTTGGACCCGGAGGAAAGCCTGTAGTAGGTTGTTGAATCTGCTGCAGCTGCATTGGCCTACTCATTCCTATACCCATTGTTTGGTTGTTTAGTCCTCTGTAGCTTCTGGCCATGGAAATTCCTGCTCCTGTATGAGCCCCTACCATCTGAATTGTTTGTGGAGGTCTAAGAGAACCCACACCAGCACGGCCCATACCAGAACCACACCTCATGGCTTTTCCCATTGTAATAACACTTGGTGTCCCTGTGGTGTTGGTGTGATTAACCTTTAGCTTTTCCTTGCGGTTCATTGCCCCAAAATCCACCCCAATGTCGGCTAATGGATTTGTTTTAGCTGCACATAAAAATGGCATTTATAAAGATTATGTGTCTTTTTTTTAATTTCAATTTAAAATAACCCAACAGCATATCAGAGCTGAAACACGAGCATCAGCCTTAAATCTAGACAATATAGTTAAATTCATTGCTTAGGCCTGCTTGGTAAGAGTTATCCAACTGAAATGGCTGAATCTACTGAAAGGAAAAGTGTACTATAAATTCCATTTCAACCAAATAAGTAAGTCAATGACTACTTATATGGAGAAAAGGCAAAATAAGCCAAATGGGGGGCTACTAAACAGACTATAATTATGGTGGGCCATATGTGGATAAATTGTAGATGTTGGACAATATTAACAAAAAAAAATGATACAAAATTGAAACACACACATAGAGGTCACAACTGGTGAGAACTTACGCCCAGAAATGTTCAAATTGACCAGTCCACGGTTGAGTGTATCACTCCAAACAGTTGACTTTATCTCAAGCTTTTCTTTGGCTGGCTGAGAAAGAGGCTGAATGGCTAAAGGGGAGACAGTTGATGCTGTTTGAGTTTTTGGAAATTGAAGGGCAACCGACATTTGTGAAGGCACTTGGGCGCCATGATAATGTGAGATAAAACTCTGAGCATTATTATAATTATTATGATCATTTGTAGTTGTTGCTCCAGTTTGTATACTCATCGAGTGTGGAAATGAGTGTGGAGGTCCGGCAGGTACATTATAACCTCCAACGAAACCAGCTTGAGCTGGAATAGCTACCAAAGATGGAGGTTGGTGGTTGGTTTGGGAAGAAAACCACATTCCTGAATCAACATGAGTAGTTTGAAAACTGGTCTGTAACAACTGTTGCCCAGGTTGAGCAGCAAAACCTGTCATCAAAGATGCCTGACCAGAATGAGATGGAAACCAGCCATGCTGAGCAGTCAGACCGCTTTGATGAGATACAAGGTGTATATGCAGGGCTTGCTGGGTAGATTGAGGTAGAAATGCAATTGGGTAATTCGGGATTGGTGGCTCACTTTGTGAAACACTCCTAGATGGTGGGAGAATATCAGCCAATATGTCAATATCCTGGCTGGAGATATGAGATGCTGCTGGTTGAGGAACATCAAGATTTTGAGTTGATGAAGGAACAGATTCAAGAGGTTGAGCAGCTCTGCCATTCAAAGATGGGATAACTTTAAAGGGTTCACCACCAAAGGGATCCTCAAGGCCCTACATAAAAAAGTACTTCACTTCCTGATAATTCCAAAGGATCAGAATTTGGATTCCAAAGCTTAGAAGGGTTCACCACCAGTATCATATCAATCCTGGACATCACCCTAAATGGGGCCTATGTCACTGTACATGGATTATAAAGAAATGAGGTTTTATCTCACAATTAGGCTTTGTTTGCAAACAATTAATCTAAGTGCTTTTGGCTTTTTTTAAGAAAAAAACACTTATTTTACCAAACAATACCAACTTTTACTTTCTCGGTTTTCGTGTAGAATCTACTTTTTACTTTTTCTATTACACAAAAAGCACTTATTTTACCAAACACTACCAACTTTTACTACTAATCACTTTTTCCCAAAAAGTGCTTTTATTTAAGCACAATCACTTGCAAACAGAGCCTTAGGCTATCCACATCCCTTGACCACCAACAAACTTAAATATTCACTATGTCAATACGAAAAGAGTGTATGTACTTGGTTAATCCAGTTTTTCCCTATATCCCAGGGAGAGTAAATATACTCGCTCTCCATGTTTTTCTGCATATGATTTATGTTGCTTTTAAAAAATAAAAAACGGAATATGTCACGAGTAAAAACACCACAATTTGATGTAGTTTTTAATTTGGATATAGTTACTTTTTCCTTAATAAAAAAATTCATTAAAAATATTATATTTAGTATTATTTGATTAATACAAATTATTAACTACAAACACTATATTCCTACTTAAAGAAAAAAATTGTTCTAAACATTCGATAATTATAGAAAAAGAGGTGGTCGCTAAAATCTTCTCCCCTTCATCTTTTTGCTGGAGAGAAACTGATGGGTGGGCCCTCTTCTATGCTTGTTGGTCAAAACAAAGGGGTGAGTAGAGGGTGAGAATATCATCCCCAAAAGTTAATATACCCACTTATTGACACCTCTATACATAGGATGTAAAGTTTTAAGTTTGAAAAGACCCAAATTTGGTTTTCTTCACTTTTAATCATTGTGGAATGTGGAAAGCCTTATAGACTCAAGTACTCAACCCCAGTGGACAATCTATGAGGAATACTCACCAAAAACAAACCAATTGGCATCAGAGGATGATGATAATGATGCAAATGCAAGTCCAGAAATACTAAAAGTCGGAGGGATTAACCTGTGAAGCTGTAGTAAGTGATCCAGCCGGTACAAGGGCTAGTGGGTTGGAAGAGAATGATTCAACTAGAGAGCCAAGTAAATCAATTTCAGGGCCCACAGCAGTACTAGTGGCATCATGCGCTGCTTCTAAGAAGGCATTTAAAAAATATTTAGAATTTTAGGAGCTGTTATGTTCATCTTAATCTTATTGCTCACTCTTTATTCTTATTTTATTTTGATCAGAAACATTCATATCAAATCAGAAAAGTTCCTACATAATTTATTACTTTTTTATTATTATTGTTATTGTTATTGTTATTACTTGTATGTAAGGTTGTTTCCATAATACTACGTAATTAGCTATGAATATTGCTATTAATATTATTACTATCATTATTATGTTATTGTTATTAATATGACACCATATGTTGATTCTATTATTATATAAGTGATAGTATTATAAGTACACCATATTGTTATTATTATTGCATTTTTATTTTTATTAAGGCTTGTATGTTACTATGAGTATACAAACATAGGTTGTTGGTATTTGTAATTTGTAATAAAACAATAATAGTAATACTACATAATATAATGACAATGATAATCCTTTTAATAATGATAACCATAATTATAATGATAATGATAATTATAATTACAAGCATAATGATTATGATCAATTTTTTTGAAAGTGATTATGATCAATATTAATATTAAAATTAATATTAATATTACATATATAAGAATAACAATATAATATTAATAATAATAACAAACCCTCAATCAAGTAAGAAAGATTCAGACTAAATCAGAAAGGCTCGGATCAGATTAAATCATGTCAGAAAGATTTAGATCATATTAGATCTTAAAAAATTTTATTAGAAACATTCAAAATAAAGAACCATATCAGCCTTTTCATCTTAATTGAGTTACCTGCTGGCAAGGAAACATGGGGATCAATCTCACTCAATCCAACAACCTCATTGTTTTCTGGTGCACCTATGCCTTGAACTGTACTTGCATCAGGCACAAGTGAAGTTTCCACATCTCTTTTTATCATTGAAAAAAAATAATGAATATTCGATATGCACCAAGTAAAGGGTTAAGGCATGATAATTTACATACAATACCCAGCATTATGTGTGTGTGCACCAACAGCCTCCTCCGTACTTAGAGGAGCAAGGTTCTGTTCTGAAAATTTCCTCTCAAGCCGTTGATTGCTAGAGAGGGTAGAAAATCTTGTTAATTAGCAATTCTTTGTAGCAGACTATTGCCAAAATAAGAGCATCTCCAAAGTTACTATGTAGTATCTATTTTCGAGGAAACTATTATTGACTAAATTACAAAGCACTTTAATTTTTCTTCATACAAATTTTTTCTAATCTCATATTGTGTGTCCATGTGCACTGTGCACATGAGTGAAAAGTTAAAAACATAGAGTGAAAATTTATTACATTCCCAACACTGCGCTTAAAATGGCTCTTCATCATTAAGGAATCATCCTTTTTTAAACATCTCAAAATAGGTGGGTCCCAAACTCCCATGTAAATGCCTACAAAATTTGATGGAGAATGGCTTAGATTCTCTATATTTTATTCTTTCATATATGAAGATTCCGGTAGAGACAAAAAAATATGGTGCTATTGAAGTCAAAGAAAATGGAATTCTTAATAAGCCCTTGGAGATGCTCTAAGAGTTTCAAAAGAAATGAGGAAAAAGAACCTTTCATTTTCTGGGCACTCCTCAGCTCTGGCACCTCCTCCTCTGTAATTCAGAGATAATAATACATAACCGACCAACCATATCAGTGTCACTAATCATGCATTTCAAGTTTCAACATATAGAATTACAGATCCAGACATGTCATGTAGAAGCATCTTTGTACTAATTTAATAATCAAGAAGTTCCTATTAGAGTGCAAAGTTATTGGCAATAATAGAAGATGAGAGTTACCTTGATGAATGTTGACCACTGCCGTCACATGCAATTTCTCTCCCTCCGTCAAAGCTTCTACTTCTTGTGCCATTACTATATTCATACATGCTTTGGCTTGTTCCACTTCCACGATAATCGCTATCACTATATGCATAATTGTTGTCGCCTTCATCATAACTTCTGTCATATCTTTCTTTGGGGCTCCATCCTCTTTCCCTCCAATAACCAATTTGATCATCATCTTTACTTCCATAACGACCTTCATCGTATCCTCTTCTACTTGAATACGAACTGGGATGAGTCACACTACCCATTGACACGCTGCGGAATCTTTAAGAAATTACAATTAAGTGAGGAAGTTTGACTTGATATTATGATAAAGGAACACGAAAAATGTATATATAGTATTTCATTATACGGTCTTATATAGATCCAGAACTACAAACAACGACATATAGTTAAATTAAATTGGCTACATGTTCTTATGTTCATATTTCATATGCCTAACTTGAGCCTAACTGATTCCATAAATATTCCTACACCCAATACAGGCTGGGCAAGTGAAGGGTGGACAAACGGGCCCAAATCAACTCCCGGGTAACCTAAAGGCGTAAACCATAAAGTGGGCAGGTGTTCCACAACCCACCATCAGACCGGCTCTAATACCATGTTAAGGGGTGTTTGGAACTGATTCTGCTTCTGCTTCTTTTTTAAAGAAGAAGCAGAAGCAGAATCAGTTTTCAGAAGCTGGTACCCCCCCAGCTTCTAAAAAAACTGATTCTAGGAGTAAATTAGAGCACCAGAAGTGCTTCCGGAATTTCACCCAAACACTCCAGCTTCTGCTTCTGCTCCTTGAAGGAGCAGAATCAGTTTTGAGAATCAGATCCAAACACCCCCTAAATTGGGCCTAACTCGCCCACAAAATCTTCAAGAGGTGAGGTTTACCGCAAACTTACATACTAGACTCGAACCCTCTGGACCACTGATGTAGTACAATCAAAACGTATCTCACAATTTTGAAGAATGAAGTCAGTGTAATATTGTATCTTTGTGATGCAAAAATAAGGGTGTGTGTGCACGTTTGCAGAATGAAACATACTTGTCTCGCTTTGCAGATGCCTTTTGACGAACTTCTTGCATTCTTTCCTTGTCATTTACTAAAACTACAAGACACTGAGATTTCTTTCTAACATTGCTTCCCTGATCTCTGCCACTGGAATCAATATATTGAAAATCGGATAGCGTCTGTTGCAAGCAGGGGGAAATATGAAACCGTACAACAACTAGTAATGCATCTCGTCTAACTTACAACATCCGTGGAAAAGAAGCTTACATTTATCTGATGTGCATGTTCCCTGATTTCATCTATGACACGTTCTGACCCATGTGCCACCAAGTATTCTAGAACAGTTAGAGCCTGAAGAGTAAATAAAAAAGTGTATATTATCTATTTACTGTAACTTTTGTAAGTGAGTTGAAATCAAGAAGAAAAAATATGTGTCAATCCAAACATAGATTTGCTCAATTGTATTTTTGCCTATACAATGGCTCCAAAAAGGTATACAGAGTAATTAGAAAGAGAATAAAAGAACATGTATCACAATTCACAATAACCTTGTAAACATGTCGCCAGTTTTTCCCAGTGTCATTGATCCTCTTCCAAATGACAGCCATTATTATTTGATAATCATTGCTGTGGATAATTAAAAGGCCAACCTTTAATTCTTAGATGGAATCCCAAAAGAAAACTGTTTGCGAAGGAGAAAGAGTTCACAAGGATGAACTTGCAACATACTAGTTTCTAGTAGCCTGTGCAATATCAGCTAGAAGTGATCCATGTGGACCCCATGGCTCATTTGTAGTGGAATCAAGCACCTGTTTTTTTGGTAGATCCATACAAAAAAATAAGGGCTAAAAACATCATGTCCTCAAATTTTGGTGCATGCTACATTGCTACCAGCTAATATCATGCAAAAGACATCTAAGCTATTCTTGCTGCCAAATTTTTAAGCACAGCTCTACCCGATTTCATAGCAAAGCAGAACTATATACACAACAATAAATAAATCTATATAAATTTCAACAATAAATAAATCTATATAAATTTAAGAGAGAAACGAAGATGATTCCACTAGTGTAAGTTGCTATTCTTTATACAATTATAAGTCTAGCCGGTCCCAGTGTTAACAACAAGGTGTAACTCACTAACTCCTGTATTCTTGATAACATTCTCAGAGACAAGTTTTAAGTGGTCTTGCTAGAAATGACTATTTCTGTCCAAATCTCAAAACATATGCATAATATTCTCTGTCCCAATTTATATGATCGGTTTACTTTTACTATACATTGACCAAACCAACTCTTCTTTTTTGTTTTTTCTTTAACATTTGTTTATAGATTTTAAATATAGTAAGTTGTGTTTACTAAATCTTGAGTCAAATTTTGTTATCATGAAAATCATATAAAAAGGAGCGAGGGAGTACTAGATATTAGAGAATAAGTAGAAGCTAGAATACCTTCTGTTCTATTGAAGAGACTTTAAGAACTTTCTTGTTAACCTCCCGCTTTCTGCAGAAGATGATCAAATTAGCTAGCCCCACAATGGAAGGAAAGGTAATATTTGATGAAGAACTATAATTTACTCTTTACTTATTATTATTATTATTAATTTTTTTTTGAGAGCTTATTATTATTATTATTATTTTCTCTGTGGTTAATCAATTTTCTTTCACACAAGACTGCCATGAAGTCAAAAAGGTGCATACAAGTGTTTTAAATTTAAAAAAAGAAGATATAACATGAAATTATGAAGCGCATGAACCTTCCAAGTGCATTCATGCTGTTTCACATGCACAAAGTATGTGCAATAGCTGTCCATGCACCGAGAGGTGATCACCCCCTGAAGGCACTTCCTTTCTTTCCAGATTAATATAGAAGATAGTGATTGAACAAACTTTACTTAAATAATCTATATCATAAAAGGGGGATTACATTTACCATAAACGAAGTATATTTTTGAGTACCTACTTGATGATAGATCATAATAGTAATGAATCAAACTTACATCTCCCTCATAGTTTGATCGAAGGCCTTTTTCATTTTGATTTCTGATTAGTTGGGAAACTACTCTCCAGAGAAGCTCCACTTGAACTTGAATAGTATACTAGTTATTTACAAACAAAAAAAAACAAGAAAGAAAATCATTATACTGTTTTATTTTAGAGTTGCAGTGGTATAGTTTTTTGCTGAAACAAATAAAGGATCCCTTGAGGCATTAAGAAGAGTAGCAATTGCAAAAAGGCACGTTGAATTCCCAAAAAAATCTTACATTCAAATTGTTGAAACAGTACAAGCTTATTCCTCTCATACATATTCAATTATGGGAGAAATAACTTAGTTACTCTGCAAATTAATTAACTTAGTAAACCTAGAATTTTTTTCGAAGCCACGTTAACAATGCAAATTGGAAATTGGAAAAATTATTTCTTTGCACTTCTCCGTAAATTACATTTTCAAACAATATTTACTTTTCCTTTTCCCCGTACTCATGTCCAAGGCGATGTTACTTTGCACATTTTAGGCCAATAGGAAATGAGATAATATAATTAGGCCATTGTAAAAAAAACAAATTGTGGCAGCCAATATATTGAAATTGAATAAAAAGATGAAGCTCCATATTCCAACAACAATGGAGCTGAATCTAAAACCTGTGTAAGATAAATAGATGGTTGCAACAAAAGTGAAACTTAGGCGTCAATAAATAAATAACGACGAAGAAGCAGAAGAGATTGAAGTGAATGAAATTAAAGGAAAATTTTAGATATAAGTGGTTTTATTGATTGCGGGAACAAACCTGGAAAGGTTTTTTTGAACGCTCTTCTTCCATTTTAGATCACAAGGAGATGAAAGCGTAAATTGCGCCATACTTCACAGAAGAGAGAGCATATGAGAATTGAAGAAGACCGCGCGCACTTTGCACTCAGGAATTCTTGGAACATTCATTTTCTTTTTGTAATTTTTTCGTAATTTTCTTTTTAGTGCCACAACAAAATTGAGAGAATTATCCACTTCCTCTCCCTAAATTATCTTCTTACATTTGTCATAGAAAATAAAAATAAAAATGATTATTGTGTGATGGAGAGTTGTGCAAAAAGTGTGTAAGATGAGTCAGAAATTGTGAATGATTTAGGCTTTAGTCCTATTTGTGAAAATTAAATTCCAGTTAGTCCTATATATGGAGTAGGACAATTGCTATATTTTTAATGTGTGTTGCACTTTTCTTTTTTATGTATTTAAACGCTTGATATGTTTTCTATTTTTATAAGCTTTTCAAACTTCTCTCCCACTTTTTTTACAATATTCATTACTCTTACTATTTCATCCTTAAATAATGTGCTCAAACCAATTAATTACGGAGGGAGTAGATTTTTCTTTTTAAACGGTCCAAATAAAAATATTCAAATAGATCTTTATTAGGCTCATTAACGGTACCTAAAATCTATAATCCAGACCGAACCGTTAAAACTCGACACATTACATTTAACATAAAATCAATGTAACATCTGAGTACTGTTTAGAAATAATTCATAAAACTACGTACATGATTGAACTACAATCATTTTCAATTTATATATGGTTTTTTCAAAAATAAAACTTATTTACAAATAAGACTAATAGTGCGTTACTAAAATGTAGTGTCACGGTAATTTAAGTTTAAAAGTCAAATGAAATTAATTTAATCAATGATTTGCAATTGCAATCACTCAAAAACTCAAGATATGTCGAGCTCGTTTGGTAGCATCAAAATTGGCTGTTTTGGCTGATTCTGCTGAAATTTATGAAGTTCTACCTGAAGTGGCTGCATTGGCTGATTCTGCTGATTTAAGAAAAAATTATTTTTAAAATATATTTTATTAATAAAATAAAGAAAAAATTATATGTAAAAATAGCTAAAATGGTCATCTACAGTGATTTCAACCAATACAGCCAGAAAAGTGACTTCAATCTTACTTTTTTTGCTTATTACACAATTCAGTACGCAAAAACAAAAGTTACGTGTTTGGTGAAAAAGCTGGTTGATAAGCCTGATAAGCCGAAAAACAGTATTGCCAAACGGTCTCGTCATCTATCTTCTAATGGACTATTTCTTGACTCGATCAAGAAAAGTCCTATGAGCAGGCTCTGAGACAACCGCCTCTAAAGAAGCAGCATGGATCGCTGACCGGCCACCATATAGAGTTCTTTCTTATTCTCAAGGTCACTATACTCTTTACTACTTCAACAAATTAAACTCAGGATAGCCGAAAATTCCCCCCAGTCCCAGATCATACATAGAAAATAACGGTCATAAACACCCCAATAAAACCACTAAAACAAGCAAATAAAAAATATAGTAAAAAGTTTAAAGAGACATAAGTAGCGTTGGAAAGAAAAACTAGAACGATACATAGGATGTGGCCAGATCCAAACTTGAATCGTCTTCTTCCAAATCCTAGTCACACGATCCTTCCATGATGGCAGTTCAGGAGGGAGATTGACATACAATACTTCTTCTTCACCCTGCTTCTTGTTCATCACGTTCTCTATCATGACTTCTCTGCTCGTCTGTCTTCCTTCTTCCGCTTCGTTACTGCATGCCTCGTCCAAGACCAGCCCTTCTTTGTTATCCCCAATGTTAGCTTGTCATATTGCTCCTTCAGATTTGAGAATATCCCCAGTCCCCACCTAGATGTGAGATCGTTACCCTGCTCGACTTTGATCTCGTCGCCAAAACCTTGAAGCCGCACACACAGGTCCGAAAGGGATTAGGACAATAATTGCAAGAATATTACTACCTCTGTCCCCCTAAGTTTGGGACAAAAGAAGGTGACACGGTTATTAATAAAAGTGAGTTTATGTGGTTGATACTAACAGGGCCGGTCCTGAGATTTTGGAGGCCCTGTGCAACGAAAAAAATTGGGCCTTTTTTCCATGTTCCAGACGCAAGTGATTTGATTGAAATAGAAGTTACTAATGAACATAAAAATAAAAATGAAAGTAGTCATTAATAAAATACCTTTCATTTGAAAAGAGACATTCTTCTTGCATATTTAGAGGCAAAGTCATCTGCCAAACTTGCAATGTCAATCTCTTGGAGTGTTTCATGTTCTATTGATATCAACGCCAATCCATTGAGCCTTTCTTGTGACATAGTTGACCGCAAGTATGGACCTTAATTCATGTTCTATCCTTAATCCTGTCATGTTTAAAAATTTTAGGTTAAAAATAAATTTACATTATTCCAATTCTTAATTGAATAATTTTTAAACACAATTATTCTCAATTCAATTACTTAATAACTAATAAATCATTCAAATAAATAAGCAAACAACAATAACACAAATAGGCAACAAACTGAACACAGAATAACTAGATTTCACTCATTTGCAATTCAAAGAATAAAAATATAAAATAAACAGGAAATGGAGATGGAGTGCTTACCGAGTTACCGAACTGGCTTTGTGCCTTTGTGTAATAGCTAGCTTTGTTTGTGCAATTGTGCTGCAGGTGCGGTCAACCCATCAGGCCATCAGGGAATCTGGCCATTGGCCCTTGCTTGCAGTCTCTGCGTCTTGACTCCTAGAGGCTGGAGCTGGGGCGGGCGTTTCTACTTGGTGGCGAGCTGGAGAAGTGGAGAATGGCAGATTCTGGCTAACCCCTTCGAAGCTTCGAACTTCGCAGTTCGTTCCAAACTTCCGAGTTCCTACTTCGGCAGAATGGCAGATTGGGCTTGCGGTTTAGGCGTTTAGCCGGTTCCCTAACTCCCTTCGTTCCTTACTTTTCTTTCAATTGTTCGTTCCCGTATCTTTTAGCCGTTCAAAGATTAGATGATGGGATCTTGGGCTGAGTAATACTACTATTTTTTTTTTTGGGCCTTCCAAATTAAAGGGCCATGTGCGGTCGGGCTGGGTGCACCTGCCTTGGGCCTGCCCTGGATATTAAATTGATAAAGTAAGAGTAAAGTAAGAATGATTTAGAACCACACAAATTTTACCAAATAAGGTATGAGACAATCTTAGTGGGACGGACCAAAAGGTAAAATGAGACAATCATAGCGGGACGGAGGGAGTATTAAAAAGTAATCATTGGGAAAAAAATTGAAATAAAAATAATCATTGGGCATGGGGACTATTATAGCCTTGTTAAGCTCACTTGACTCATCGTTACAGTTACCGTACATGACTCAATCAGTTACAGTTGTTTGGTCTCACTAGTTACACTTACCCAACCCGATCAAGTCAGTTACAGTTACTCAACTCGACCTGTCACAGACATCTAACCAATCTAGATACAGTTATTGACCAGACCAGTTACAATTACCCGATCCAATCAGTTACAATTACCCGGTCCAATCATTTACAGTTATCTGCCTTATAGTGACCGTCACCCCGACTAATCACCGCCACCACTATGGCCCGTCAATACCGTCGCCCCAGTCTAGTTGGCATCGCTATCTCTGTGCCACTTGGTCCCAGCCTCACCACAGACCCCTACTTTATCCGGAAAAACTGTCAAATAGGTCCTCGAACTTTCATAAAAAGGTCAAATAAGTCCTTATATAGGAGGTTCTGTTCGGCCGTCGCGATTTAGGGTGGTTCCCGGTGGAATTTTTTTATGAAACTTTTTGAGCATCTTATTCATCAAGTCTAGTTTACTCCTACCAAATTTCAACTAAAACTTAAATTGGGAACGCATTCAAATTAATTCTTGAAGATAATTGTGCGGTTAAATGCACAGTTATCTTCAAGAATTAATTTGATTGCGTTCCCGATTGAAGTTTTATCTGAAATTTGGTATGGGTAAACGAGACTTAATAAATAAGATGCTCAAAAATTTCATCAAAAAAATCCACCGGGAACCGCCCCAAATCGCGACGACCGGACAGAGCCTCCTATATAAGGACTTATTTGACCTTTTTATGAATGTTCGAGGAACTATTTGACACTTTTCCCCTACTTTATCCCAGCCCCCTCCCCTGAATCACCTCAGTCCCTTACTTGGCCCCCAATTTCATGCAATTTCTTAAAAGTCCATTTGGTTTCCGTTTAATAACAAAATTCCTTTTTCCTTTAAAATGCACGGATACATTTGAGTCGTGTACAGTGCATTTGAGTCATCTTTCGGTCCATCTGGTTTTGAAGTCATGTTTTGAGAAATTACCTTCCTTTTAGTCATGTTGGTGTAAGGATGTGTTTACTGAATTGGGATCCTCTGCCCGACTAGGACGGTGCCTTGCGCATTGGACGGTCGGGCATTAGCAAAGCAGGCCTCGAGATTAGCGAAAAAGTGGAGCCCAATATCTCGGACCGTTGAATTGTTGATCGGACGACCCGGAAGAAGCAAGGCACCCTACCTTACTCTAAAGTAAGGTAGAGGCTCCGGATCCGTGTTTACTTGGAACTAGTATAGCTCCCGTGCGATGCACGGTGGGTGAGTATTGTTTGAAAATAAATATGGTTGTTTTTACATCTTAAGAGTGCATGTCAAAGGTTATTACACAGTACTCCGTATCATTTACCGAGTAGATAATTTCACAAAAAATTGTGAAGCAAATAAATATTAAATACTGCCTATATTTTTTTAAGTGACCCGATTAAGTCAATCTAATCATTTCAATCAATTTTTTTCAATCAATTGATCCAATGGTGGAATCTCCCACCCCAGGGGCCCTCACACCCCGACCTGACAGGATGGTGAAGGAGTAAGTCACGGTGATTCAGTCAGCAAAGTGGCAGTAGGCCTACACCCGTGCGCGACAGAGGTCCAGCCTTATTTCAGATTATATAATAACCTCCACTCGGTCGCTGCGGGGATTCGAACCTTGGTCGATTGATCCAAATTTCTCACCACTCGACCAACTGAGTTATCCAATGTTATAAAAAACATCCTTACTAAGAATGTTTTTACTTGAACTGATTTCAGTCCCAGATCAGAGTAGACATGAACTAACTATAAAAGACACAGAAACCAGACACTTATCAGACCACATCAGACCTCCCAGAAAATCTTACTCCAAGTAAAACATCCTAATTGGATAAAGAC